TGACATTAGGTTCCCCAGCTCCCTCTACATCCCACATTCTGAGTCTGCTCTCCTCTAAGTTCATAAGACACAGCCCCTCTCCAGACAACAGCAGACTAGCCATTACTTGTCCCTATTAACCTATCCCTCCATCATCTTACATCACTTTAACACTTTCTACCTTTCTGACCAAATTAATCATAATGCAGAAATATTCCAAGGCTCATACTATCCCCTATGATGCTCCAAATAAATTTTGGAGATTTACCTCCAGCTTTAGGCACTTCCCTCTATCTGTTCAGTGATTATCTACATGTTTAGTGGAGGATGAAATGCTATCCAACTAGATACGCTGACACCATGACAGTGGTAAAGAAAATAAGAGAGATTATCCTCATTTTAAGCAATCCTTTATATACACAGATTAAATCAGAACAAGAAACTTATTCTTTCAGCAGATATAAACCACTTAATCACAAAAAAACTAGAGCACTCTCTAAAATTTTATAAATCATGCCATCTTCAGTCATCAAAACAATTAGGACAATCTAGACATAATAAAAAACCTATCAAGAAATTGGACTTTTAATGGCTAAGTGTATTATTTTCAGCCCTTATGAAAATCTGGAGTTATTCAACAGAAGACATAGAACCATTTTATAATTTTTGGACACTTTACATCTACTTGCATGTCAAAATCTTGTATTTCTAGATTGACTGACCATCATGGGAACTTGAATAAACAATCTGATCCTATGACTAGCTATATGCAAGAACTTACTACTATATTAAGAATATATCATCAAGCAGAAATATGTGGCCTCCATTGACTGACAAATCTAGCCATCTTTTTCAATCAGATCAGGTGAACATCAAGATTTTTTAGAAGAAAGCAAGTACTATTACCTTGCTGGAAAGGACCTGATGAAGTACTGCTAACCGTCTAAATGGCCATCACAATAAAAGTATGTCCTTCTGAATGTGGACCAGATCATGCTAGATCCAGACTATCACACCCAGAACAACTGTTAAGATCATCCCTATGGTGACTTTATGGTAAGGATTTCAGAACCAAGTTCAAGACTCTAGAATTAAGATGACATCACAAAGTAGACAGCTACCTCTAAGAACACAGACCAATAAACTTCATTTCCTTCTATTTTCCACTCCGTGTCTTTCTCCTCCATGTAAGGGGACCTCTTTTTAAAACAAAACTTACCCTTCCCCCTACATTTATTAAAAAACTGACTAGAGATTATTTGTCGCAAAATATCCTACCCTCCCTCTGATCCTCCACTGTGAGTTCTCCTTCAAACTCTCTTTCTTTCATCTTAGCCTCACTGTTTTATTAACTGGGCACACATAAACCTGACACTCCCTCACACCAGTTTCCCAGACCCTAATCATATTAACTAATCATTCTGATTGCTGATTACATCTAAGTAGCATGAAAAAACCTTAACTAGTTTTCATCCCTTCCGATGTGACCACCTGGTGGACAAACTGTGGAATATAGATGAATCAAAGTGTATGGTATCCATGACTAGAAAAGCAATGTCATTCTACCTTTCCTTCTGATGAGTTCAGTTGGCCAGGAAAATTTTCTATGTATGCTCAAGGACTGTCCCTTGCTCAGGTAAAGACATTGGAAGGAAATTTTTTTCCTTCATATTAAAACAGATATGTTTTTCAACCATTCCTAGGTGACAAACTAAAGTGATATTGCAACCAAATTAGATTCCATGTGCAGCATCCTCACATCCTTTAAGAGATGATAGATGGTCCTAGCACTATCTGTCAGGGCACAAATTTCTGCCAACACCAAAAGTTTTGACTGGTTAAGAGGCTAGTCTTGCACAACCTGGGCTAAAACAAGAGACATAGAGTAGGATTAAAAGTGGGAGCCCAGGGGTCCATTGCCCATCCTGGGATTCCAACAACGGCCCAGAGTGTTTGCTCCACTCTGATTTTATTGAAACCTATTTGCCCAGAGGGTAAGATGAGGGAATGAACGAAGACCTCAGCAGTTTCTCAGATTGATCATATCAGTTTCTATTGTTATTATAGTTAATCTTAAGGATGGCCCTCAGTAATCTGAAAGCTGAGCCTTGTATTGAGAGAGCCTGTTAGATTATTGCCTCAGAAAGCCCCTTCCTACCCGTAAACTTATAACTCCTCCCCTAGCACAGAGAGTGGCCTCATCACCCTGTTCCAATTCCCTCTGCCCATCCATAATGGCTCTCTCCACTGGAGGAATAACTCCTTATTGGTTATCCCACCAGCCCATCACCATTCTAAAACTCCCCTATATAAGAATATGTTCCCCCCCCCCGCCATCTCTCTCTCTAACCTCCTTCTGCCTTCTTTCTCTGCTCTCTTTTCTCTCTCTTCCCCCTTGCTCTTCCCTACTCTCTCTTCTCTTCCCCACACTCTCCTTATCTTTCTCTCCTCCTTTCTCTCCTCCTTGGTGCTGCTCTGCAGCCTCCCTCCCCCCACCAATAAAGACCTTTCATACAAGCCTTGGTGGTCTGAGAATTCTCTGCCAGTCAATGCCTCTCTTTCAGAGCCTCCCTCCTACTTGAGGTCACACACACAGATTTATAGGGAGGTGTCACACACACAGATTTCTAGAGAGGTGTTAAGCTCCACTAGTTCTCTGTAGGGGAAAATGCCATCAGCATTAATCGCCTCTGAGGTATAGGAGGGAGGGTGGCATTTTCCTCCCATCACCACCACAGAGGATTTTCCTCTGCTATAGGGGATATAAGCTCTTCTGCTCATATCATCTCAGAGCTCGAGCTATTCCTTTGGTCTCTGTGGAGACCAATGCAAATCTCCACAATGGGTATCTGCTTTTATTAAGCAGCTATTAAATGGGCAGGAAATGTCCCAGAAGATGTATCTTTTCTTAGGACTGTCCTAGCCTCTTCTATGACCATTATTTTCTTCAAAGTGCTCACAGACCCAATAGGGTGTTTGCCGGCTGTATCCCCAACAGGCTAGAATTTCATTAAAGGCAAGAAGCTTGCTAGCAATGGCTAGCTTAAATGTATACTAGTTGACTTTTCTTTGTCCTGACTCTTTCAGCTTACTTTTTAGTTTTCCTCTTTTGAGGGCATGCTTTCCTTTATCAAGAATGGGGTCTCCGGTCCCCATTCTCCCAACAGTGCTCTGCCATGTTAATAGTATTACCATACAGTGAGTTTCATGAAAGGAACTTAACCCAGAAATTCTTTGTGGATCATGACTCTTATGTCAAATTAATTCAAGTCATAATGAACATTTCATTAACTTGATTGCTTCTTTGCACCTCTGTGACACAGTTCACTACGAAAAAAAATTCTTTTTAGCTGAGACATCAAGCTTACTTCCCTCAACCCAATTGAAATATTTTTCTGACTTGTAAAATGTTGACTTATCTGAAAAAATTTCAGTCTTTTAAATTGGCTTAGTGGGAAAAGTAGGTGGCATTTAAGTAAGTGACATTTTAAACAAATAATGGCATGATACATTATTACTACAGACACCAGATATTTCTACAGTATTTGGTGGTTATACATTGGTTAAGCCAAATAGGATAGTTTTGCTTCTCCTTTACAAAAGAGAAGGAAAAACAGTTACCAAACATCAAAGAAGCAAGAGTTAACAAGATTTTTTTCTCAGTATCAAACTCAAACCAGATTGATTTCCAAATGATTCTCTATAGCCACTAATTTAACTTGGGAAAAAGGTATTATCTTCAAACAGTTTGATCAAGTATGTGTGCACTCTTGGTCTTCCTTCCTTCAATATAATGAGATAAAAGGGAGGAGAAGGAAACTCAATTGTTCTTTTTGATGGGGCTGGTTTTGTGCAGACAGAGGGAAAACCTTACCAAGGCCTATTGATCTCTAAGGGCCTTTAATTCAAAATACTCTTTATACCAAGGAGTCATATTGTGGGCTAAAATTTCCTGAGCTCTTTTAAGATGTACAAAAAACAATACAAGGAACCTGAGAGGATCTGTGTGCACTACATAGTGTCTCTTAGCAATGTGTGGGTCAAAGGTCAATGTCAGGATAAAATAAGGAAGTTCAAACCCCCTGGTTGATATCTATAGGCATCTCTTATTTATTTGTGATTAATCATACAAGTAGGTAGCAGAAAGAATCCACAAACTGGAGATATGGTCAAAACTACAAATGGGGCAAAGTAGAGCATGTGCAGTACGGGGTGTCTGTTGTCTTCAACCGACCTAGGATTCATTACCATTTAATTAGTTTTGAGGTTTTGAGCCCCTACCTATGGTATTTGGTAAAGAATCCTGGAAGGATGCATGTGCATAGACCAAGGGCGTTACGTAGGAAAACTTGTCAGTCACCCAACAGGAAATGGAAGCTCTGCCTAAAGAGAGGAGGGACAGTCAGTACATCATATAAAAAAAAAAAAAAAATGTGTGTGCTAAAAACTCAGGGTCACCTTTCCTGTGGCGATATACCCATCCTCTCTTTGGAATCTACTGAATCTTGGTGCTTGGCCTGCTTACGTCTGCTCAGTCTGCTTATTTCTCCATAGACATGTTTGGTAGTCTTGGCCCTGGTACCCATTCTTTGGTACTGGGATAAGAACCAGGGAGTGCTAACCTCAGACAACCTGACAAGTTGACCAGGTCTTGCCCTAAGACGATCCCTTCTATGGAATCAGATAATTACTTAGTAATCTGTCTTTAAATAAGTTGCTTGCGGGAAAAACAGTCTATTAAATCAGTATTTAATATTTATATGCACGTTTTAATGTATGTACATTCTTATAAAGATTAAAATATACCACTTTAGTTTAAATCCAACTGAAACAATCCAGTAAGGAAGAAGAGTGCACTGATTTTACTCCTGGATCTAATTTCTTAGTCAAACTAGGAGCAAAACAGCAGGTGTCCGTTTGTGTTAAGTGACTTTGATAATGTCTACTTGGAGTGCTTCTCAATGGAATTCAGGAGGGGAAAAAAGTCATCATAAATTTCATCTCTTTCCTAAGTGAGTACTCTAGAGGTTGCACAATTCCCTTTAAACTCAATTATCCCACAACTGAGTGCTCCCATAGACTGCCAAAACCAGCAGACCCAGTGTTATTAGTGAGGAAGAAAAAGGGGAAACCCCAGAGCATCCGTCAACCATCTTCATTTCTCTGCAATCAGCTCCTTCGTATCCCTGATAACAATGACAGGAAAATTTCTCAGCCATCACTGCCAGGTCTGTAGCAGATGCTCTGCCTTTCACAGTAAAATCCCCGTCTGCAGAGGCCTCTATGTGGTAACTCGCAGGGTTCAGGTGGAGGTAGTTGGGAGCCGTCCACATCTTCCTTATGCACCTGCCGTTATTCCTGCACAGGTGAAGGCTGCACACCTCCGCGGCCCTGGTCACGTTGACTATGTAGCTCCCTAAATCAGAACTCACAAACTGCTTCACCTTTGTACAGTTGCCCTAGAGATGTAGAAACAAACGGGTTTTAGTGTTTCCCCGGATAGGGTTAGAGCTTCTAGGCCCACCAGGCAGCTCTTTGGACTTGACTAAAACCTAACAGCTTGGCTCCAGTTAATGAACTCTTAGGTTCCTGGGCACTATAACCCAGGGGGCCCAGACCAGAAAGGGGAGAAGGGTAAGGGACAAAGGAAGGAGAATTTGTTACAGTGAGGCTCGGCAGCTGCACTTGCAAACGGGCCCAGAGTCAGCAGAGGGGACCTTGCCTTCCTCTGATTAGTAACTTTTCCCGTTCTAGCTCCCAGGTTAATGTGTATGAAAAAGAGATGAACAAATTAAAATTAAAATCATCCCAGAGCTTCTGTCCCCAGGGCACTTTGCATATTGTGCCATTCGTGGTTGTGTTAGGCCCTGAATCGTCATGTTTATCATTTATTGTTGAACATCAACCTGTAACCGTCTGCATTTTTTGGATAATTATGTATAAATGTCACCTTTCCTGGGTCCTACAGTTATATCTTCATTATAATTCAAACATAAGAAAGCCTGTGAGGCTGATAGGTAATTTCTGTATGTGGTTCCCACTATGTCTTCTAAGTAGAGGCCACCTGGGTTGTGCACTCAACTTCATGATGACACATATGGGCAGAAGTGTAAATATCACACCTGGAAAGTCAGAAATTGATCCTCTCATTTTCTACCTGATTCTTACAGGTGGACATACTTATAAATAGTTTCATGAATGCTGTCTCAAGCAACAACTTGAGCTTATAAAATTCTAAGAATAATATTAAATCATCATGGGCTTGCAAAAAATTCAATTAGAAAAAGTGTTGAGGGTACCAGTTTTATAATTCAAGCCAAAATGTGTTAGACTACAGAGAAATAATTAAGTGACATCTGGAAATACAGAAGAGATTGTGATTAATATAGATTGGGGAAAACTAGGAAGGTTTCTTATAGTAAATATCTCAGCTGGGAGACATTTGAAGAGATTTTTAGAACCTCTTAATTTTCAGCTAATTTATCTGCAGAGAAAAAAATAAGTCTACAAGGAGATTAAAAACTCACCACCTGTTTCTACTTCTCAAGATAGATTATAACACATTTTATATAATGGTTAAATGCCAGGGCTCCAGCATCAAACTGTCTCAATGAGCTGTTACCCTTGTTATTTTTCATGTCTTGTTCCTTCATTTATAAATGAAGATGACAGTCACTACCTCCTAGGACCGATAAGTGAACAAATGCTAAACAAAAAATCTCTTAGCACACTCTTAGCACCTAGTAAGCACTCAACAAATGTAGGTGTTATTACGATTACTGTCTTTAGGAAAGTTAGCAATGTTTATTGAGCCCTTGCTGTGTGTCAAGCACTAATTTGTACTTTTATTGTAAAGCTGGTTTACCACTGGGGTGGGGTGGCCTGAGAGATTCTATTACAGTGAGCTCTACAAGAAAACAGAACAAAAACTTAAAAAAAAAATCAACCGTACCTTCAAGGTACTAACTTACCTCAGATGAAGTTAAATTCATGTCTCCCCAAATAACAATGCCTGCAGCACCCAAGGCAGCACTTTCTCCTATGGTACTGATTAGATCTTGCTAGATTGAAGAAAATAGAGTTCATTGTCAATTGGAATGTAAAACAACTCACCAGGGATTGGGAATAGAGGCTGAGTTCAGCATAAGAGGGCTGGATGTGAGCTCAGATACTCCATAGAGACTATTCTCTACGTTTCCAGAGCAATACACATGTTGCACAAACCAATGCTTAAATCATGCTCTATAGACTTATGCAAAAAATATAAATATTTTTAAAGAACAACTTACCTTTTGCCACTTTCAAAATATTATTTTGAACACAATGAACCTGTAAATAATGATCAATTATTTAATTAAAATTGATTAGAGGCATATTCCCACAAACCAGGTCATATGTATATGACCCAGAAACAGAATCCAAAAGCTATCCTTCTCTAAATGCAATCCTCTTAGCCTTCTTCATTATGCAACATGCCCCCTTGGAACTTCCCCTCTGAAGTGATGGATAGGTTTGTGTCATTTCGATTCCAAGGCCTGGCAAAGAAACAGCATTAAGGGTTTGCAGGCCCTGACTTGGTCCAGCCTTAATATTTGGTTTCTGAAATTATTTGGGTTTAATCTCAAAACACCTGATTTCACACGTATCGTTTATGATTCATCCAGTCATGACAAAGCCACTGAGATTTTTCCCAATATGGTAAAGATAGGTGAAAGAAAGATTTCAGCAAGTGAGAATTTTGGTTTCGTAATGCTAAAGAATTACTGTTTTAGTTTTTAAAGATTAACATTGACAAAGGTTGTATCATATAAAAATTAAAAGTTGAATGTAGGTAATTGGTATCTTCCTTTATTAAATTACAATATATTGTTACTCCAAGGTTGCATTTTCACCAGTGATATGCTGGAGAATGTAATTGGGTGATTTGATGGAAAATATAAGAAGAGCTATATTTTGCTTGGGTACTTTATATCAATAATAATATTTAAGAGATAATCTCTTTCTCTGAAATTTTCATAGACCGATCCTCAAAAGTTTTACAATTTGAGTTTTTAAAGTTTTTTTCCCCCTGAGAAATTTTCTGCTAACTTTGAAATAAGAAAGGGATTTTGGTTTAAACTAATTTCCCATTCACATCCATTTTCATTCCCCATGACCATGTTATCTGCCGTACCGGTCAGGGCTGACATGATAGGAATGTGTCAAGGGGTTGTGAGGCTGAAATAAGCTAGGTCAATAAAAGGATTGTGACAATTACGAAAGGTCTGATGAGAAGGGATGAGGCAGAGCCATCCCACAGTGCCCAGAAGCATCTGCTCGGTCCATGTCCATTGCCTCCTTTGACTAAGACACAAGGGAGAACTCCTTGCTCTGCTCACTTTGAAACGTCCTGAATCCAGTCACTTGATAGTCACATGGTGTGACAGTGGGGCACAAATCCCCAACAGCCTTCCTTTAGGAAGTTAAAGCAGTGATTTTCAACCGGTGTGCTGTGAGAAGATCTTAGATGTGCCACAAAAATTTTTGAAGATCATTAACTAAATTATTTTCAAAAGAAGTTCACAGCACAGTAAGTATATCCTTTTTTTACTCTTTTTTTTTTTTTTGATCAACATAATTTAAGTGTACTGCAAAAGTTTAACTATAGGTTCAAGTGTGCCATGAGAGAAAAAAGATTGAAAAACACTGGGTTAAGGCTTTGCCATCAAAGGAGGGAAGGACAAAATATTTACGTTTTATTTTTACAGGTTATTCATACATATTCCATAAGTATAAAAGCAATAGGTGCTTGTGGTGAAAGCCACATCTTCTGAGGCTGGTCTTAGTTTCTTCCCAATTAGTTACCAAATTAGCTTCTCATCAGATTAGTTAACTGTCACCAGCAGAGAGCAGGGTACTCAATGAATCAGAAAGGAGCTGTGTTTGGGGTTATGAGAAAAGCAATGGCATTCATCACTCAGCAAGGGAAGTCACAGCTCACATGCCTGGAGGAGTGCACTGGGACCACCTGAGAGCATAAGCATAAGGAGTGCACTGGGACCACCTGAGAGCATGGTATCACGTGAAAGGAGGAATAAAGGAACAAAGCAGACGCAGACTCAGGTCCCAGTGTGCTGGAGGGCTGCTTTGCCTGTACCCAAGGAGCTCAGGCTGGAGTCCAGATTTCAGAAGCAGAGGACTCACTCTCCCCGCTTGGGTTCAGTCCCTGACGCTGACCAGGGCGCATGTAAGCAAGGTGCCCTCTGTGGGGACCTGAGCATCACTGATGAACTCCCTTTGTGTGTTACCAGAAAGAGAATTAATTAATTACAGGGATAAACACCTTTAAATCTACAGCCAAGTACTCCTTTTGTTCTTTTTTAAAGCACAACATCAGGTTCTATCTAGGTTGCATTTATACATATGTTTGATCAAACATTCTTTAGTGATAATAAATTTACTTGGTGAAAGAAACAATAATTTTTTTTTTTTAATTTGAGATAGGGTCTTGCTCTGTTGCCCAGGCTACAGTGGCACAATCACAGGTCACTGCAACCTTAAACTTTTATGCTTAAGCCATCCTCTCACCTTAGCCTCCCATGTAGCTTTTGTGTTATTTCCCCAAGCTCTGGCTGCTGCCCGGGGTTCCTTTTTTAGATAGCCCAGGCTTTAGTTGAAGGTGTTGAGACCTGCTAAAAAGTGATAGCCACACAAATTTTCATGTGCATTCTCTCATTTAATTTCTGTACTACTTCTGCTAGGTAGGAATGCAAGTAATACTGTCCCAGTTTGTACATTAAGACACTGAAGCACTGAGGTCAGGGCAGGTTAAGAGATTTGCTACTTACGGGCAGATCTTTTTTTCTAATCTTAACTGTATGTGTGCATGTTTTCAAGAATGTAGATGTTGTGGGAAAGTAAGAAATGAAAGCCAGTAGTAGTCGGTTAGGGTACAATGTTTGGGACAATGATGGTTTAAAATACTTGAAACAGCTTGCCATTTAGAAAGGGAAAGGATGCAGATTAAATAAAGACCCAAACAATTGTTCCTTTTTTTCCCTGAGAGAACACAGAAGTATTGCTGAGGCTGTGGCTACTGAAGAAAGAATGTCATCCCAAGTTTATAGAATGTGCAGAATGTACTAGTAATTTAAGTTAATCTTTTGAAATGAATATGTTGTTCTTTAAAGGTTATGGTTTCTGCCGGGACATGATGGCTCATGTCGGTTATCTTAGCCCTTGGGGAGGCTGAGGTGGGAGGCTCTCTGGAGCCCAGGAGTTGGAGACCAGCTTGATTAGCATAGTGAGACCTGTATCCACAAATTAATTGAAACATTATTCTGTCGTGGTGGTATGTGCCTATAGACAGTCCTAGCTACGTGGGAGGCTAAGGTGAGAGGATGGCTTAAGCATAAAAGTTTAAGGTTGCAGTGACCTGTGATTGTGCCACTGTAGCCTGGGCAACAGAGCAGAACCCTATTTCAAATTAAAAAAAAAAAAATTTATTGTTTCTTTCACCAAGTAAATTTATTATCACTAAAGAATGTTTGATCAAATATAGAAAAGAAGTTTTCTAAAATAGTCAAGATTATTTTGTAAATATTTAGGTAACCTTTTTAAACCTTCCAGATAATATTGATTTCCTGTCATTCTTCAATCCCAGTTTGTCCTGATTCTTCTGGATGGGATGACTATCTGTTCACAGTAAAGACTTTTCCTTCCTCATCTCATGAATGGTGTTGGAGGCAGAGGAGTCACTGCTCCCCTCAGTGTGCCGTTTCTCCCTCTGATGAAGACGCTCAGCCCTGCATATGTATAAGCGGGGTACTGGTCAGGGAAGAGCCCTCACCAGGGGCTTCCTAAGCCTCCTCCCTAGCTTGCCCCACACTCAGAAGGTCCTTGTACTTTAACACATGCTGATGACTTGAAATATGTAATGGTGGAGAAGAAGCAACAACGTTTGCACTGAAATACGTTAAGCCCCTGGTATCCAGTAATACCTTGAAACATACCATCTCTCTGTGAAGGCCTGAAAAAGTCTCAAGTCTTCTCAAGGTAGAAATTTTACAGAGGGTAGAGCACCCGCTGTTTTCCCTAGAAATTTCCACTTAGAGGTTAGATCAGCAAAGAAAGAAGAAGGGAGAGAAAATCTGGCTGAAAGTTCACTTAGTTGAAAAGCTACTCTCATGGTCTCTATGAGGTTTCTGGCAGCATGTCTTTAGCTTAAGTAAAAATAATCAGACAGAATAAAACTTCTATCTCTAAACTTCAGCATAGGGATATAAAATCATCTACTTGTGATATAAGTATCAAATTCAGAAACTCACACAGCTCTCATCAACTTTCTACTAGTTGTGCTCACAGAGACAACAATCTCCCAGATGGCTAAATCTATAGATTCATCTATTTTTAACAGATTTGCAAATTCCTTTGTATCTTCTTAGAATTCTTAAATTGTCATAAAAACACATAATCTGAAAATTATCTTAGTAATTTTTCAGTGTACAGTTCAGTAGAGTTAAATATATTCACATTGTTTTACCTTCCTTATAGCTTTTTTTAAAGTTTACTATTATGCTTATTTTTTTTGAGACAGAGTCTCATTATTATCTCACTCTACCCTCAGTAGAGTGCTATGATGTCACAGCTCACAGCAACCTCAGACTGGGGCTTAAGTGATTCTCTTGCCTCAGCCTCCCGAGTAGCTGGGAGTGCAGGCGCTGGCCACAACGCCCAGCTATTTTCTTTGCGGTAGTTGTCATTGTTGTTTGGCAGGCCCAGGCTGGGTTCAAACCCCCAGCCCTGGTGTACGTGGCTGGCACCCTAACTGCTGAGCTACAGGCACCAGGCAACTATCATGCATTTTGAAAAATATTTTTCCTCTTGATATTTGAGGCAAGGACAAAAGGAGAAATTTTGTAAATTCCGCTTCCTCAAATATGAGCAAATGACTCCATTTTAAAACATGTTCTTTCATTTTCTAATTTGTCCACTGCCAGTAACCCCATTAAATAGCCAATTCTATAAGAATTACAACCAAGTTGGGGGCACAAAGTGTAATAGTGGCTGGAATCTCACTTTGACTCCTTCCCACCTTACTTGGTTTCTTAAAAGAATAATAATTAAAAAGGTAATCAAAATTTAGTTTGCATAAATGAAAAGTCTAAGTGGAAGAAATCTAGTCAAGGATTAATTAGGTTCCTAGCTAACAGACCATTAATTGAAATAGATTCTTCGAAGAGCATAAATAACCAAGAAATGTCTCTTTTAGAGATAGGGAGGAAATCCCCTACCATTGTACAAGGTGCTTCTTACCTTAGAAAGAAAGAACAAAGGCTCGTCTCTGTACCCTAGCCTCGTGTAGACAAACACAGGCAGAGCATAATCATGGCACGTCATGGCAGACACCCTCATAGATTCGTGCACACGAAACTGTGAAAAGCGCAGAATGTTTTCACCACCTCCAAGGGATTTCCTGACACCAATGGAAGGGTACAGAGCAGCACTGCTGTTCCACAGCCAAGAGAGCTCATTGTTCCTCAAAACTTCTTCTTCTGGGCAGGACCCAGTGTAGTTTGGGGCATAGACATTATAATTGTGGCAATCAGGATATAAGTAATAACCCCAAAGGCCCTTGGGTCGGCTCTTAATTCCCAATTTGATGGTTTCCTTCATGAAAGCTTTTGCACTTTCCTCAAAGGTTGCTTTGGCTAAATATTCAATATCCGTAGCTGATTCGTTCCTTTGCATATCAGAAATAAGTTGTCTTGACTTCTGTCTGTAGACATCTTTTGTGTTCCAGTTTCGGGCCCACTGTGGTCGCCAATATTCCCAGTCTATAACAGCAAGTCCACTGAAATCTTCAGCAGGGATGTAGTGATTGATGTCTTGGTCAGCTTTTTCCAGATGAACTTGCAAACTTATATTCTGGGGGAGACCCCCGTTAATGGGGACCCCATCTGCTGTATACCATGGATAGTATCCCAATCTATTGACATAAAATATTGTGACGTTTTGCCCCCTGGCCTTGGCCAGTGGGCTTCCAATCACCTGAAACATTTTCAAATTTAGTCTCAAGTTATATTTTATCAAACACTGATCCGTTGGAGCATTCCAGGCAGCTATAAAGGGTTTCCTTTGATAAATTGGAAGTCGGGCAGGTTTTAGAGAAGAGATAGACTTCAGGATAAAAACTATAAATAGCCATGATGTGAGATGTACTGGTTGAACAACATAAAGCCTTAATTGTCCTTCAGATAATAGTTTCATGATAAGATAAAAATCTGATGTTATCTTCTGCTTTAATGCACTTTGGAAGACCTGTGAAGAGATTTAATTTCCTGTTAGTGATAATTTTGAGGAAAAAGAATCAAATATTAAGTAGGTATCATTATTATATGCTTATATTTTTAAGGTATATTTTACTTAAAGACTTAAAGCGACCTATAAATAAATTGAGATACGGCACTAAGTACAGCACTAAGTAAAGGAGGATACTGACCTCCTTTCTATTCAGGGACGGCCGATACATTTTAACAAACATTCATGGAGCCTCAGACCCTGTGTCCAGAATTAAAATGAGTAAGTTGTGATCCTGTCTTCAAATCAAATCCATGCATTATGCTTATATGTTTTATATGCATGCATCTTGTTTAATTTTACAATACTGTATAAGGCTTATAATTATTTTTTCATTCTACAAAGGAGGAAACAGAGTCTTAGAAAGCTGAAGAGGCTTGCCTGATTATCATCACAGTACATGGAAGGCAAAGCACTGTAACACTGTGGGCCAGGCCCGGTGGCTCATGCCTGTCATCCTAGCACTCTGGTAGGCTGAGGCGGGTAGATTACCAAATTTAGGAGTTCGAGACCAGCCTGAGCAAGAATGAGACCCCCGTGTCTACTAGAAACAGAAAAAACTAGCCAGGCGTTGTAGTGCATGCTTGTAGCCCCAGCTACTTGAGAGGTTTAGGCCAAAAGATCCCTTGAACCCAGCAGTTTAAAAGTTGCTTTGAGTTAGAGATGACACCAGGGCACTCTACCTCACTCTTGAGAAAGGGACTCTGTCTCAAAAAAAGAAAAAAAATTATAACAATAAAAACGCATAACAATCACTACATGCTAATTTGCTAGAGCAATTACTCTTCGTGGAAGTAAGAAGTGCGTAGAAAGAAAAACTGATTCAGGGGCAAAGAATGCCTGAGCACAGACAGCCCAGAAGACAGAGCCATGCACGGTAGAAGACAGAGGAAGATGACAACTACTTTGTCAAGTTTCTTTTTTAGTCATTTCTTTGTAAGACAACTACAAAATAATTATTTTTCAAAGAGCTTATCAAAGGGTTTGGTGGCATAAAATCTTTATAGTCTTCTACATTATTAAAATGAAAATGCATTGTGGTTATAGCTAATTCCTTGTGAGGTGAGGGCCTAGTTTATCCTTTGGCTGAGGGCCCAGGATATGAACCCCCTTCCTCTGTAGTGAACTCTGCACCCTAAGTTTCTTGGTAAAAAACATTATAGAAGCCAAAATGTTCAGATGCTGTCCCAGCTCCTCTTTGAAGCTGGTATATTCCCGTGGCTAGACCAGGTAGATGAATCTTATTCTAGAATTGAATTGAGATCTTGAGATTCAAAGAACCTGAGGTGGTGCTGCCAGTGGTGACGTGTCTGGGAGCCACAGGCCTGTGGGGACATCCAGAACCTAATGTCCATGCTGTTACTGTTAAGTGGCAACTTATCTTCATGGGACAGCATTTTCTAATCAAGTGAGTGAGGTTTTGATTCAGTTGCTCATTACCGGGAACTCTGATCGATAGAGGGTATTTACATGGACTCTGTGACTTAAGAGTTTCCTCCAGCACAGCCAGCATGGGTGAGCTGCATGTTCGGAGTCATAGTCATTTTAACCACCAGGTATCTCCAGACAAACCTCATAGAGTTTCTCAGGCCTAGGACACAGAGGTAAACAAAAATTTTAAGTAATTTGCATAACTTTGTTCAAAGACATGTAAGAAGTCTTGAGTAAATGAGTACACACAAATTATAAGTTTTTAAGAGCTAAAGAAGTAGGTATTTCATCCATTGAATAAATGCCTCTACTCTTCTAGGACACAAAGATGAGTAAGATTAACTCACTTAGTAATATGATATATTATACTGAAAATCTAAAATATGAATTGGAGAGAACAGTATTTTTGAAGGCATCTAATTTTACGAGTTCTAAAAGAGTGGTGGTACTCAAAATGATATTTCTCTTTGATATTTCATTATATTCTGCTCCAGGGTAATAATAATAGAATTGTACTACATATAAGGGGTCATTAGTAGGGAGATGGGAAAAGATTTTCTTTATATTCAAAATTCAGTTCTTGTTACAGAAGACTATACATTGTGTAGAAAAATAATCTCTGCCAGAACAATTCCCATTTTTGCTTTTATTCAAAACATAGTTTTCTTGGTGACTATTGTTTCCCCTTTGATCAGCCCCCTCCTCGCTGCCCCACAATTGACTGCATTCATTTATTACAAAGTTACCAAGTGACTCTCTTCTCCTACTATTCTCCTTCTCCAGAACTGGAAGTGCCTTTAAATGGCAGAGGGCGGCCATAGCTCCTGATAAAATATAGTGTACAGAATTAAGACAGGCAAAATCAGTAAGTAAAGTTCTGTGCCGGTCTTCTGCTTACTGTACGTCTCAGGTTTCTGCTTTCCACAGAGCCATGTCACTGGCTGGTGCACCCTCTGTCACTCTCCTGATTAACCCTGTCTGGCTGGGAGGAGATCCCCTCATGTGGCACCTTCCAGATACTATTATCAGTTTCCTGCCCTCACCACGCAACCTCCAGCTGTCTTCACTGTCCTCTTTCCTTCAGTGGGGAGCTTCCCCAGGACTGCACTTTGCTTTATAACACCCGTAGACGCCTTCCCACACCCCGCCATGCTACCAGGTCCCTGCTGCTGACCTCTACCTGCGCCTCAACTAGCTGCTGTAGCAGAGCAACCTGGACAATTTTGAAGGCTGCGTTGAGGCAAGGATAAAAGAAAAAAAGAACAAGAGAGAGGCAGCAGGAATACTATAAGGAAGCCCTGGCAGTAATTCAAGACAAAAATGAGAGTGGCTGGAATTAGTTATTTGGAAGAACCTAAAAATATTTTCAACAATTACTGCACAGAAAAAAATGATATTATAGGGTGGCGCCTGTGGCTCAAAGGAGTAGGGCGCCAGCCCCATATGCTGGAGGTGGTGGGTTCAAACCCAGCCCTAGCCAAAAACTGCAAAAAAAAAAAAAAAAAGATATTATAAATCAATAAATGAATCATTAATTCTGTTTTGTTTTCATTTCGATCATAATTCCAAACTTCTGTTCATGTACACTTAATAATTTTTTTTTATTCACAACAAGATCATTTGTACTAATCTATAAGATTAGAGCGAATACTTTGGGAAAGCTTTTAGGAACATACACTCATCCCTTAATATTATGGCATTAGTGGAAGGAATTGATTTTTCAAGTCTGCAACTCTTCTATTTCTCTTTTTCATGATACTGGGATTTGGTTTTAAAAACCTCAAAGATGCCAGGTGTCTACTCCTAAATCCATAAGGGTTTAATGAGGCATTCTGAAGGTGATGGGCCCTAAGGAATTCAATAGATGAGCTATTTTACTTCCAAACCCTCAAGGAAAGTACTGACAAAGTGTTATTTTGCCAGTGGTAAAAGATACACTCATAAATGTTTATTAGTTAGGAAGATGGATGAGAGCCACCTAGGTCAAAGCAGTATCCTCAATTCTGCAGAACTGACTGTTAGCCTGCTGTCTCATAAATCTTAGTAGAGCAAGACCCAATAATAGACATCCATTTTTTTTTTTTCTCCAATGAACTTACCTTTAAGTTTTCCAGGAGAAGAAAGAAAATATTTGAATGGCAGAGCTTTCTCAGCTAAGTTTCCCCATAAATTTCTCATAAATTCTCTGTGTCTGTTGATTTACAATATAATCTACCTTATAATAGTATCTCTTTAAGGCTCATCATGAGGTACTGAATTTCCTTATACCTCTACTTATATTATTACTAAAGAGCATTGGTGTCCCTTCATCTGAGCAAATTTTAGAACTACTATGCTATCCTGATTGCACAAAATGGCTTCCTTTCCAGTCTTCTTAAAATAAGATTAAGTTTTACAGATATGTGAAAATGACTATTTCAGTGTTACCTTTATTAATGGAGAATTCATTATGATTCACTGTGAATAACTGTATTTTTCATGACATCATTTTTAAGAAACGTAACCTGAGAGAGAATAATGTTTGTTTTTGCACAAAAGTACATACTTAGGCTTTGTTTAAAAGTATTATCCTCCTTTGAGTCTTGAAATTTCTTGTAGCCAAGATCAACAGCTTTCTTGGAAAAGCACAACGTCTTAGGACCACATTTTGAATAAAGTGTTCCCTCTGTCAACCTGTTTTTAACTAACCTCCCTAAAATAACATTAACTTGACTTAAATCTTCAGCGTCAACTCCAGCATATGGGCCTAGCGCCCTACTCCTTTGAGCCACAGGTGCCGCCCAATCTTCAGATTTCTAATGAAAGTTTTTGAACTAAAGGAAGCAATCTAGTAATGTGTGAAATGTTACTTAAGTCCTTCCAATGGTGATAGTCAAGAATATAACTTAAAACTATCCCATTCCCCTAACTGTGACCCATACCATTGACAAAGAGAGCTGGGAGAGTAATGAGGGTGACCAGACAGAAACTGGGGCTGAGAGCTAAAGCCCAGTATGAGGCCTGAGGACCAGAAGGATGTTTGAACAGAATCGGATCATCCAGCATTTGAGAGGCTAAAAGTTGTGGCTAGAACACATTGCCCTGTCTCGGGGATACATGGCTTACTTTCAAATCCTGCCTCAATCCTGCCAGCAATGGATTGGAAACCACGGTTTGCCTGCCTTTGCAAATGGCACCCAATGCTCTGCAGACATACATATTTTAACAAGATATGAAATTTGAGCAGGATGAAATGTTCCCAATTGTTTGCAATTAAGGAAGGGTACATTCCTAGTGGAAAAAGATCGGCATTTTCTATCTGAAATACCAATGCACGAAATTTATTGCCGCATTGTTTGTAATTACCAAGAGTGGAAACAAATGTCCATCTTTCAGGGAAAGACTAAATAAAGCATGGCCTTCTATTCAATGGAATACTATGCACCTGTAAAAAAAAATACAATAAGGTTGCTTCTTTATTTTGATATGGACATTCATGAGATATTAAAATGTTCTTTATTTGTTTTACAAATGTCTATACATATGCTTTATTTGGATATGGACATTCATGAGATATTCACATGTTCTATATTTGTTTTACACATGTCTGTACGTATGCTTTGATTTTTTTAAAGATGTGTGTAGAATGTTATCATGTTTCTTAGAAAGGGATATATTATGTATGTGCACACACATATATAAGTAATTTGCATATCAGACAATCTCTAGAAAGATGCTCAAAGAATGGTTACATTGCTTGTTTCCAGGGAGGAGAATTAAGTGGCTAAGTGAGAGAATTGGCCAGGGGGTGGCTGAGATTTCTTTAGAAAGCAAGTTCTGTTGTTGTTTTGTACTATATTGCTGTGGTAGGGAATTTGAAAGTTCTTTGGCTATAGCAAAGAAAATGCAAACTGAGGGTGGTGCCTGTGGCTCACGGAGTAGGGTACTGGCCCCATATACCAGAGGTGGTGGGTTCAAACCTGGCCCCAGCCAAAAACTGCAATGAACAAATAAATAAATAAGAAAATGCAAATTGATTCTGATATAATATGAGGAATCAGTCGTGGCTTCCCACAGGAAGCCACATCAGAGTTGGATTTTGTTACAAAGATCACTTTTACAATGTCATTTGAGAAAATGCTATGCTTTTCTGTATCTAATAAGAAAAAGCCCTTTTCAGAAAATAAGAATTTTTTTAAATTGAAGTGACCACCATCAGCCAGAGCTTTAAATTAAGGCTCTATGGCAGCGGTTCTCAACCTGTGGGTGGCAGCGGTTCTCAACCTGTGGGTCGCAGCCCACAGGAACTGTATTAAAGGGCTGAGGCATTAGGAAGGTTGAGAACCACTGCTCTATGGTGACACTAGCTATTAAGAGCTAATTACAGATTATTTTATTCTCTATGTTGAAGGAAAGCTAATGGCTTAGCAGTTGTTTAGTAGAAACGACAGTACACTTGAAGAAACTGATTAGCGTTATTACGTACCACAAAATATAATCAATAATACCAGTGCATTATTTATGAAAAGTAAATAAATATTCTATAGAGTAATTTAAACATCACAAAACTCTAGTTACAACAGATAAATGTATTTGAAGGAAGTGGATATGAAAAGGATGGTTCTGTTTTATCTCCTTGGTTCCATACTAGTTTTGGTAATTTATCCAATCTAATTTTAAAGAACTTGGAAAGCAAGATTATATATTACCAATAAAACTTTAACAGCTTTTTTCTTAGATTTTCTTAAGGATTCTGAGTTGACTTTATTTTACCCAACTATACCTTTTTGATAAAGATCACCTTCAAACCTTGTTTTTTATTCTTCAGTGTTTATAGCATTATTTTAATTTCTTTTTATTCTTTCTCCCACTTTTTCTTTTTGTGAATCCTCTCTCAAATCTGATTGCTTTCTTTGACTTCTGTCTGAGTACCCTGGTGTGTACATAGCACAAAATAAGGAAGTCTCAGTGCAATGTAAAAAAGCCAGGAAAGAGTAAAAGTTAAAGTCTCCTGCTATGGAGCCAGTTACCATCAGCAGCACACTAGAAAAAATTTCATTACCTTATCTATTCAATTTCTATTTTATTTGGTATCTTTGTTCGTTGTCAATTTTTACTTAAGTAGATTTAGAGAAACAAATGGCGGGGGGAGTTGTTGTTTGTTACATGGATGAATTTCATAGAAGTCAAGTCTTTTAGTAGAGTCTACATTGTACCCAACAGGTAATTTTTCATCTGATGTTTCCCCTCACCCTTCCACTTTCCAGTCTCCAATCCCATTAAATCACTCTGTATGGCATGCAGACCCATTATCTGCTCTCTGAACCCTTTTAAATGTTACATGTTTTTTAAAAACTCTGCAATACTTGATCCAAATAATCATACCTGGTACTGCCCACCATGTGATAGCCATGTGATGGTAACTATGGTTTGTAGTATGAAAAACACTTCATTAAAGATTATGCAAAAATAAAATCTTGATCAAATAAATTTGCCTATACACTAATGGAGAATATTTATGTTCATAAAGTCAGCTTAAGGAATTCTTTACAGCTGTCAGTTATTTAAAAATATTAAAGTTGTGGCTCACTCATTAAGCCCTATGCTCCTATGGCTTATTTTTAATTAGTTTACTGTCCTGGTTTATAGATATTCTGATGCTATCTCAAGTTAAGAAGTGGGTTATATAATCCAACATACTGCAAAGGCTCCTTTCTGAGAAACTGTGCATGTAAAGGAGAAAAGAAGCAAGCCTTGAGTGCGTCATTGAAGTCATATAAATTTATAATAAATAAAAAGTTAACTGAGGTTTAACTTGATACCATCACTGACAGATGTGGTTTTTAGGGTTCTAGGTTCATAAAAGCAAGATCACATATTGAAAATTACTGCATTTGAGAAGTTAATAATGTAAGGTAGGCTAAAAAAGAAATTGGGAATTCCAAGTAATGAAAATTAGTTTTTCTCTCATTCCTCTAATTCCTAACAACAATCTTTAAAAATTTTCAAACAGGAAAAAAGTATATTTTACCTTTGCTTTTGTTTGCTGCTGGTCCGTTAGTCACCTGGTGCAAAGCAGTGGTCAAGTGGCAAAGGATGCCCTGTCACAGTTCAGAGCAACGTGTTATTACAGGGGTGACTCAGTCCTTCAAGGTAAACAGGAGGCTCGCACTCATTCTCTTTACATACACAGCCAAAGTTAGACTACGTTAAAAGCATTTTGGTATACGCAACCTTTGCTTTCTGAAAATATCCAATTTAAACTCACTAAGACGAGACAGAAGAAAGAAAGCTTTGATTGAGTTTTTAGTTGAAAAAATAAGCAGTTAAAGAAAACTATATATGTAAGACTTCCAGATTAAAGAGTATAAAAATGGGGTTCAGTGCTTTGTATCTTACAAGGTGCATTATTTTTAAAATAGATATGCTGTTCCTGATGATAATGGAGGATTGACTGTGTGTGGCCATTAGGTGCCAACCTGAGTAAATACAACATGAATTTATTAGAACTAATGGCTTAAGATGATAAGATGAGCACATGTATTTATTTACTTAGGATGCAATTTTTAGCACATGTCATTAGAAAAATACAATATAAAGCTGAAAACAAGAAGGGGTGACATGACTCAAAGCCTGACAATAGCTGAGCTTAAATAAGTCAGAAATTTTTTTAAATTAAAAAAATAAAAACAAGCAAAAACCATAGTAGAAAATTTCTCTAGATGAGCTATTTCTAATTCTATTCCTTCTATTGGAAAGAGAAACCCTAATATGCACAAAATAGAAGTGAATAAAGAACAAATTATCAGAGCAATTAATTACAATATTGCTTCCACAGTATAGCAGAATCACTTAGGCCATTTAGCTGCCCAAAGTATATAAAAAGACAAGCATTAGTAGAAACACTTGGCCCTACGACGTTCAAGTATAGAGAAAGCTTATGTAGGATTCAGAGTTTGTGTGTTAGACTAATACAAAAGCAGAGCTAAAATGGGCACAGGATTTGTTCCCTAAAATTTGGATTCAGTCAACAGATTGCACTCAAGGATCCAGAAGGCTACATGTGGCCCTAACGCTGAGTCTTCCCAGTGGGCATGGAAAGGATAAAAAAGGAAAGGTTGCTCAACCCACGAGGGAATTATACTCCTTTCCCATGACAATTTTCTCCTTACTTTGATAATTATGGGGCTCCTGCCAACCTGCCTGTTTTCTACTTACATGGTCCAGATGGAATCTTCCTTGTTAAAATGTCACAGCCTCTTTCACAAAGTCTGCAGTCCATCCTCCCATTTAATGTAAGAACACAGTTGGGTCAATACACCCAAACAAATGCAGGTGGGTGGGGGGAAGAAGTGGAATCCCTATGATGGATTTTTCAATTACTCTTGTCCTTCATAAATATAAATGAATGACCCCCAGATCACCAAGCATTTGACATAGACCAGAGTATAAAAAGAAAAGAAATTAACAAAGGGAACAACTGATCCCAGAAATCATGGAACAGAATAGAATGTATAACAACAGAAACTATTTTTAAAAATCTAAGAAATATTCTCAGAGAGGTTTAAGAAGCTGTTGAATCTACAAAGCTAAGCCAGCGTACTATGAAAAAGGAGCAATCACATTACACATAAAGAGTTATTTAGAATTAAAAATGAGTGTCAAAATATGGTAGTGTCTTGGTTCATGTAGTTTGCTAGAATAGAACACATGAGGCTGGTGATTTATAAAGAAAAGAAGTTTAACTCATGATTGTGCAGGCTGGGAAGTCCAAGTGCACGGCCTTGGCTTTTGGTGAAGACTCCTGATGTGGCAGAGAAGGACCAAGGGGAAGTGGTCATGTGCCAAGGGGGAAAACCAGAGTAGTGTGCTGGCTTTAAAACTACTCACTCTCAAGGGAACAAATCCCTTCCTGCAGAACTAATTTAGTCTTACCAGAGTCAGAACTCCACTCACTACCTCCAGGAAGGCACCCAGCCATTCGTGAAAGATCAGCTCCCATGACCCGAATATGTCGTATGAGGCCCACCAGGCCTCATTTCCCATGGACAGTGCCCTTCACTGCCACATTGAAGATCAAATATGAACATGAATTGTGGTGAGGACAAAGAAACCATACCCTAAATCACTTCAGGTAGAGACCAAACTAGAATTCTAGAAAAAGAAGTGAGTAAATCTGTAATACAAAGCAAAAAAAAAAAAAAAAGACAAAAACTTAGAATATGTGAGAGGAACCACAGAGTACCAATGTAGAAAACCCAAGATTCGTCTAATAGTAATTTATTTTATTTTATTTTTGCTAAAACTCCACCAAATTTTATTTCAACCTTTACTCAAAAATGTAAAAAGTGTTGAAAACTCCTCATAGTTTTAAGCTTTAGAGCACTACCCGTCAATCCTCATAGACCAGCGGGGAGACAGGGTCAGAGTCAGGGTAACAGTTCAGCGCTTCTCCCTCCCCAGGAGAAAAGGGAAGCCCTAGGCGCGGTCCAAGACCAGAACTCCCGGGCCCTATGGAGAACAGACCAGGTTCCCAGCTCAAGCCAGAGTCCCTCTAACCCACCTCACCCGCCAACTCTCCTCTTCAATGAAGAAGAAACATTCACAATTCTTGAAACTTGTCAGGGAGCATGGTGCGTGGCGCCCGCAGCGGCTAGGAAGCCAGGGCCTGCCCGCCTGCTTTTCAGCAGGAAGGATGCGACCCAGCTCAGCTTCCTTCTCATTCCTCTCCTAGCGACAATCTGGAGCCCGCCAGCCCAGTGACCAGCACAGGCCCGAGCCCGCGTTCAGAAGCAAGGTTACAGCGTCTGGAGCCAGAAGTTATCCAGGCTGAGCGCCTGCTGGCGGGATGAGGTGAGGCTGGTGAGGAACAGTCTCCTGCTGTCGCGATCAGTGCACAACTGATCACGTGTTTGGCCCCCTGGGAGAGAGCGGGGTTGTCAACACCAGCAGGGGCTCAGCCTCCTCCTCTTCCTCTGCATTGAAGGTGAGGGAGTGGGTGTGCCGGAGAGCTCACAGCCTCAGTCTGTCCACGGTGACCCGCCAGCGCCCAGAAACCTCCCGCCCCAGCTTGGCTCTCCTGACTTAAAAATGGTAAGGCTGCAGCAGTGTTGAAAGGTAACAGTAACTTTGCAGTACAATAGAGAAAATAGAGGAAAGAAAACTAATTTGAAAAAAATTATCCTCAACTGGAAGTAAGAATGCAAATTAGAAGAGACATTCAGAAGGCTTTGTAAAGAATGTCTCCAGTAAGAAAATAAGCACAGCCCAAATCTACTAAGGAACAGAAAGAGTGGTTATGACACATTGCTTGTGAGACGATTTTTTTTTTTATTTTAAAAAGTAGGTAACATGGAACAGAGACTGACAAAAACCAGTGTCTCATCAAAAAATTGATGTAAAAAGTGCTGTGATTTTTAAACAATCGTGAGAGGTAGGAAAAAACACAGTAGACAAAATTATCATTGGTCAGGTAAATCAGGAGGGATTCGCCTTTGGATTTCTGATGGTTACTGTCTATCCTCTTAGAAGATTGATTTGCTAGAGTGATTAGGAGTAGTTATAAGACACTTTGCTTGCAGATGAACCTTTTATTAATTTCTCTTGGGAAATGATAAGCATAGAAATAGAATGAGTTTGAGTTTTACAAAAGAAGAAATACAGATGTTTACATTTGTCCTTGGATTAGGTATAATTGATGATTCCTCAGTTTTATGAGACAGTCAACTAAGTATTACGATCTGGAAATCCAAAATTCTGCATGAAAGTACCACAAACACTGAGTTTTCATATGTTTTTAACGTGAAGAGATTTTTGTTTTTCCAAGCCAGAATTTTAAGCATCCATTATTAGAAATGTAGTAGTTCCTTTGGTTTAGATTCTTTCACTTGCTATTAAGTTTAAGTGAAATAAAGTTTCATAATTTTTTCATGTTTTGAAAAAGTCAAAGGATTCTCTGTAGATGATAGGATTGGAGTGTTTTCTGTTTTATTCTTAGTACTCATTCTATCTTTTCCCTTTTTCTTGCATCTCCCTCAGTCCTTCTTATGTCCTGATAATTTTGGAATCACCTTCAGTCTACACAATGGTCTGATGTATATATCCTGTCTTTGGTGTATTCCTTCATTGTTGGGAAAAATTACCTATGCCTTTAATTCTCTCTGTATCCTATTGTCTTCACCTTCAAAATGATAATTATTATAATACTGCCTACTTTAATGGAATTCACTGAATATCAAAACCCTGACATAATAATTGTTGAATCATTTATCATCACCATAAGGACAGAAGGAGCCATTCCTTTGTACTTGTAATGTCTTAATACCAATTTATATCATTATCAAAACATTTTGTGCTTGAGCACAATAATCTAATCACTGTAGCTACAGCCTTTGTGCATACAGTGGGGCACCAGCAAAATAAGGAAATATATCACATAGCCAGCGATTTAGTTTGCCGTGTTTCATTGCCCCTTTAACTTTTATTTCTCCCTAAAATGAATGAATTAATAATGAATGAATAGACAAAAATGTGAATCAAAATAATAATCCAATTTACCTGTTCGAGTTCTGTATGTTTTCCAGGACCAAGTACACATGAAACCGCAACATTTAGGAATTGTCAGACCGTAAAATAACTTCCCTAATGGATTACAACTAGGTCAGCTTAGTCACCACAAGAATTGCTGTGCATTGAGAACTGATGGACTGCTTAGCTACAGAAAACAGTTTTCAGGCAAGTATCAAAAAAAAATAACTTCTCATATTAATTCCACTAATGAGAATCTAACATGGTTTACCTTCTTCTTTTTTTTTTTTTTTAATAGAGACAGAGTCTCACTTTATTGCCCTTGGTAGAGTGCCCTCACATCACACAGCTCACAGCAACCTCCAGTTCCAGGGCTTAGGTGATTCTCTTGCTTCAGCCTCCCAAGTAGCTGGTACTACAGGCACCTGCCACAACGCCCAGCTATTTTTTTGTTGCAGTTTGGTCAGGGCCGGGTTTGAACCCGCCACCTTCAGTATATGAGGCTAGCACCCTACCCCCTGAG